ACCTGTTGCTCTTTCTATTTCAGCTAGGGAAGTACAAAACCAAATTGCTTGCAATTTTGCCTTCTAAGGTTGCTTCTTAGATTCTAGTATTAGAATTTAGTAGAATTAGATTCTAGCAGACTATTGCTTTTATTTTTGTGACTTCTGGAAGTAGTTTAAAGAAACTAGGAATCCCTCAGGAACAACTGTAGGTAGAGTCTTTGTGTTTTATTTAATCTCAAACTAAGGCATCTGTCAGTAGGAAGATAAATAGGGCTTTTTGGATATGCATTATAATCTGTGTTTAGAGTGCCTCCTCTACAGAAAAAAAATCTGTAGTCTTTTTTAAGCCCACAAATTTTTGCAACACTCACAAGTAGTTCTGTGATAATATTCTGTCATGTGCTGCGTAATTCTGTATTTCAAAGCAGTAGACTCAAGGCTGTCATTACGCCTAAGGAGAATAGCTATTGTAACAGAAATGTACTATACTGCTTCTCAATCTATTGATGCTATTTTTTTAATCCATGCTTTATCAGCATGTTAAAGAAGCATGGGTGGATGTAATTTCTTTAATACAGTATCAGTCAAGACATTAGAAATTATCCCTTGGTTCCCACTGAATGTCTTTAAGGTACAAAAAAATAAGTGTCAGTTAGATCTCAGGAGGAAGATAAGTAATGCAGCTAGGACACTTTTACATGTGAATATTCTTTTCACAGAAATACAGTTTTGTGTCTGTCGAAAAGAGCTTCCCAATGCCTGTTCTTAAGGAAATCACACCATGCCTTAAAAGAGGAAAATATTTTCATGGGGTCATAAAAGCCAGGGATGAGAGTCTCCAACCCATTTTACTCCCAGAGAAGCTGGGATCGAAGCATCCTGTGCGTTCTGGAAATCTGGCAAATAGGGCACTTCGTGCTGTAACAGAAATTGTTCTGTGTGTCCTCTCTTCTTCACAGAAACAGTTAAAGCAGTTCTGCTAAGCTGTTAAGCACACTCTATTTAGAACAATAGTGCTTCTAAAACAAGATGCCTGTATTCCTTTGTTGTAAATATACATGGGTTTTAGGATTCATGAGCTCAAAACAAAACTAATGTTTTTGTTCTTTTCGGTGAATTGAAATGCCCATAGGAGGTTTGAAATGAGAAAGTTAACTGATTTCTCAGTTTTATTCATACTTAGTTTCCCTGAAACTGCAGATTGTGAGTATTCTTTCAGGTCTGGCCCTCCAAGGTCACAACGGAACAGTTAGTCCTAAGTATTCGTATATTCACTTCTCCACATTAACTTCCTTCGTTCCTAATGTAGCTGGCTACTCAGATATTAGAAGAGCTAAGCATATAGATTCTTTTCTTTAGAGCTGAGTCCATGCTTTTATTCCCAGCAGTAGTGGTTTGTTTCATTTACTTAAATTGCCTTTACTTTAAATTTACTTAAATTACTTAAGACTCCTGCATCTACAGCTGCAGGATGAGTACAGCTTCTCTGTCATGCCATCCTCTTCGTGTCCTGCAGTAAGCTCATATTTCCTTCTCCAAAGCATGTCTACTTGCAGAAAGCAGCTGGAGATACGTTCCAATTTCTGGCATCTTTGCTGGGAAAGTTCCTGGAAGTCCAAACTGAAGGTTATGTGACAAAAGTGAGAGCAAGAATCAGTTTAGGATGGTTTCCTAAGGAGAGCCACTTTTGTGACCATCTGTCAATCTCCTCTGAGTGATATCTGACCTTGGTGGCCAGTAGCAACCAAGTTCAATGCAGAGTCTACTGACAGCGTGTTTCTGCACTAAGAAGAGACCTACTCCAAAGTTCCCTTTTAAGGGAGTCTTGCAAGTATTGGAAATATTTCAACTGATTAAGATGAAGCATTAGTCATTAGAATCTCTATACTTCATTTATCAGAACCGAAACCTTGATGTTGACCAGCCATGAATAAAACTGTCAGCCACTGTTAACATACTTGATATGGTTGTGTGTGTTTGTACGCACATGCTTTCGGGTAGATGTGTATTATACAGATGGGCGTTCAGGAAAACATGCGTAAATTACAACAGTAGTATTAGCTGCTAAAAGATTTGATACTAAAATAAATCAACCAGTCTGCCAAAATCTCCACCAAAAAGACGTGCTTGAGTCCAATTAGAACTGTTTCTGCTGTGGACAGTAAAACATCTGCTGCAGGGAGTCACAGAATATGGCTCAGGAGCCATAGGGTGCTCACAAGAAGCTTTGCTTTGGCTCCCCTGGTGGTTGCCTGTGTCTGTGTGGATGGTGGGGTTTTCTTTCTGCTGTCTACAGTACTGAAGCAGTTTGAGCAGTGCTAGCAAGGATTGACCTGCCTCAGCATGGCTGTGGCTGGCAGGTAGCAGTAGATGGGCAGCAGGAGCTTTGGCTCCCTGGGAGCCTTTGCTGGGCCTTTCAAAGGATCAGGCTGCGCAGCCTGAAGCTGTTTCTTGTAAAAAAAACAAAACAACAACAACAACAAAAAAAGCAAGAAACAAAAACAAAAAACAGAAACAAAACCAGAAAACACAGTTTTTTCTGTCAGTTTGCTGTTAACCTCCATCCCTGGTTCTGGATCTAATTTTATGTCTTCATGCCAAGCCAGTAGAGGGAGGAGAGAAGGAAAAAAAAAAAAACAACTGAAAAATCAAGCTGCATTTTTCAATTTGATTGTTTGCAATGTGTTCAGCTTTCAGCAGTGAGAAGAAGTCTCTTTGTTTGCACTGATTAGAAGCTATTACATGTAAACTACAGGAAGTGACTTCATTTGAACGGTACATTATGTGTATGGATTTTGATAGCAACCAAAACCCCATGTGGTGTACCAGAAATGTGACATGTACATCTTAGTCTCAAGAATAACCAGAATATATTTTTTTAACTTAGCTTTCAATCAGTGCTTTGATCTGAAGTCATTTTTAGGTGAATGAACCTATCAAGAGCTTTGATAAACTTGTTAATCTGCAGCATGAAGTTAAATTTGATAAACACACCTGCATACTTTCCCTGCTGTTTTTTTTTTCTTTAAGTTTGTGGTAAAGTCCTATAGGACACTTCCCTTTCAAATATTCAGATAGTGAAGATACTTTTTCAATTCTCTTTGCTGGGAAGGCTGTAAGGTACGGGAGAGCAGAGGTATCCTGCTGTACGTCCTTCTTGATTCCCTGTAGAATCTGCTGTACACAGTCCCTTCACTGAATTTTACAGCGCACCTGGGCTCCTTGAGTCTCCACTTATTTTGCTCCTAGGATGGAAGGAACATGGCAGAAAGCCTTGCATGGTTAGTGGAAGGATGGCATTTCTGGGGCTCTTTAAGTTCTTCCTGACAGTGCCAACAGTAGTCACAAGACAGAAACCTTACTGCTTCCATTAGTACTTGACTGTCTTCATGATTACTCTCTTTTAGGAACTAATAGTGAATCATAGTCACTGTTATCATTTATTTGTTCATGTAAGAAATAGTTTTGCTACTCTGAAGAGTTTACATGCTTGAACTCCTGTCTGTTGGGAAAATGTGTGTGTGCTTTGCGTTGCAGTCAGATGGGAGGTAAGCCTCTCTGGGTCCCTTCTCAAGGCTTACTTTCACCACAACAGGTGTGTGGGACAGGAGGGGATGCCTGGGCTGATTAGCACTGCTGGTGTACCAGCTGGGGGTGGATGCTCCATACAAGCTGGTTTCCTTCTCATGGGTGGTAGAAGTGATGTGATGAAAATGTTCCTCTGAACACGTGTTCTCACCTAAGGGCTGGGCTTACCTGCAGTGCTGGTCATGGTTACAGGGAGCTGACCTGATCTGCCAGTCTGACTGAAAGCATGGGATGGCAACAAGGCATGGTACTGTTTAATTTCTACTTCCAAATATAGTAACTCAGTTTTTAGGTTTTACATCGTAGTAGAATGAGGTCATGTTACTATAAATGTGCTTAATGTTAAGGATGATTGCCAGGATGTCTGCAAACCACCCATCCATCGTTCTCTTCCCAGAGGAGCATGGGGCCCCATGTAGGCGCTCATGCTCACAGTGCTGCTCATCCCTGCCAAGATCAGGACTGCTGCTCCACTGATTTTCACAAATAAAACAAATTCATGTGTGGGTGAATATGCCACAGTTTGCAGTCTTTACTCAGGTGAGCAGTTGGGATTACAAAGTCAGCCCTGACTGTGGTCAGCCTTGACTTTCTCCTCCCTTCCTCCTCTTTTTTTTTTTTGTGCTTAGCTAAGCAGCGTTAGCTCTCTTTTAATGGAAGGTGTTCTTCTACAAGGCAGAAGAGACACAAGAGAAAATGAAGTTCGACAACTTTAACGCTGGACTAAGGAGCAGTTATTACAGCTAAAGGCTGTCAGTCAGTAGAAAATAGCACAGTCAGTAGAAGTAGCACAGCAAAATATCAGAAGTTAAAGAGGTTAGAATAGAATAATTTTTTTAATATTCTGAACTCTGGAAACTGTAACTGGAGTTCTACTTCAGTGTAAGTTGGATGAACTGTTAATCAGTTAAGAGCTTCAGCTCCTTTGTAAATGAATGTACTTTGCGCATCAAACTTAGGACATGTAAGACTTCTTTCATAAACGTTTTTTCCAGAAGAAATGTGTGACAGTGGTCCACAGTAGTGGCAAAATAACTTGGGATTAATTGTTTGCTAATTGAGTACTTTGAATTTTTGCCAAATAAATAATGTTCTGGAACACGCTTTTCAAGTTTTTCCAGCAATGGATGCCTCAGAACAAACGATAGAGAAGGAAAGCCTCGCACACTTTTACACAAGAAGAAACAAAACTCAAATACTGCAAATGCAATGTATGCTGAGGGAGAAAATTTCAACAAGATATTTGTGTGATGTCCCTGTACATGAAAGCAGGGCAAGGGTAATGAAGCAGCACAGTTTTACTTTGGGGTAAATTACTGTTGTTTGCTATGCAAATCTTATGATTGTAATTAGACGTGGATTTGGAGTACTGTGTACACTGATCTTTGTTCCCTCTGTGCACGGGAGCTAATTCTAATGCTGCAAAACTGCACAGCAAATTTTGAGCACTGCTCGGCAGACCAGTCATTTCTTGCAGTGCTTCTTTGCAAGAAACGGGTGTTGTGAAAGGAAAGAGTTACCTCTGTGCTCACAGGGCGTGCAAGAAGTACTGCAGACGCCTTCAGAGACACTGAAGGAGGATTCAGGTACCGTAACATCCCTTAAGAGCAGAGCTTGGAGAAGATGCAGGAAGGTTGCCTGATAGGGATCTGGTTGTTAACAAATGATTTTTTAAAAGTTGTACTCTACAGCTGATTGGCCAAGGAGCTGGTGGTATGTTGGGGCTCTTGTGGCAGTGATTGCGTTCCTAGTATAGCTATGTATAGCTCTGTTATCTCCACAACCGGACTTCGTGTAACCGCAGCCCATGGCGCTGTGCCCACGCTAATGAGATCTCCCCTGAGGCCGGGCTTGTGTCTGTGGGGGTGGCACTGCCCAGGGATCGGGCCACTGCTTTGGAAACCTGTGTTTGTTAACTGTGCTGGAGTCCAGCCTGACTGCCGCTACCTGCAGGAGTGCGGCCCCATGAAGGGCTGATGGCCCTGCGGTTGTCCTGAGGGAAAGGAGAACGGGCCAGTCTGTAGTCTGCAGGATTGCCAAGGAGAGCTGTCACTTGGATTGAGGGAAGCACCTCTGCGCTGAGAATGGCTCAGGTATGGCAGTCAGCCTGCTGTGGTCAGCTGGCGGGTGGAAGTGTGTCCTGTGGGCACTGAGGCTTCTGGCAGCCTCCTGACAGCCAGGCAGAAACCAGCCGTGCTGCATGCAGTAGAATAATATTGTGCTGGTGATGGGATCTGCTAGCTTGTGTGGTTGAATCTGCAGGTAGATAAAGTGTTGCTTGGAACTCTGTAAAATTCTTTACAGGCAAAGAATGAATTAATATCCTGTAGGGGATCATTGTTGCTCTGAAGGTGAAGTAATGATCTGCTTTTTACAGCTTGTAGTTCCTGTGAATGCTTCATTTATTTTTGTTGCCTGTAGATTAAAGGAGCAACAAAGCAGAGGCATGGAGGCGGTTTTATGATTTCCTTTCATGCTTGTGCATTATCACATATTGTTGTAAACATGACATGGAATCCATTAGTCTTATTTGTATAAATGTAAGTTAAGGGAGCAGAGAGACTGTAAAAGCATCAGGCAGTATACTAATATTCCTAACAAAAAGCAGAAATACGTTTTGAGTGTTGCAAACTAGTGCCACTGGTGAAGCTGTAACGTTTGCATTTCTTGCTCTGTAATTTAGCATTGAATTATGAAGGATTGTGAGTTGGTCTGAAATTATCTCCAAGGAAGAATGTAACAAGACGATTTTGTGCTGCTAGTTTTGGGGGAAGAAATTGCAAAGACCCCCCTACTTCCCAGGGGATTACCTAAGGCTGTGGATACTCTCAGCAGTTACCATATTTACAGTGGCCCGGTCTTGTGCTTCTGGTATACCCAGCAATTTTCAGCATGCAGTATGCATTCAGAGTCAGGGTTCCAGGTGCATCAATATGACATCAGAAATAACATGAAGTAAATGTAGTTTCAGGACTGGAACTACAGTTGAACCGCTAGATCAAATAGCAGTCTTCATATCCCACATCAGGAAATGCAGATTATCCTAGAGCAAACATTGGGTAGGTCGGGATGTTTCATGATGCTGCAGTGAGACTTCAGGCCAGAGTCTGCAGCAAGGTGCTTAACGAGTGCATGTATCAAGAGATACCAGGCTGCCAGAGTGCCAGCTGAAGTGGGTGGGAAAGCCAATTAGCTTAGAGTAATGTCCTAAATGAGAGCTGCTTCCAGCTCTGGCAGCTGGTTTGTCACGTTCTCCAGGCCAGCACCTCAGTTTTGGCCAGAAACCTTTCTCTCAGCTATTTATTTGTGCTTGCATTATTTTCAGTTTCAAGGAGCATCCTAGCATCCTCCATGTATGTTATGAAGTTCAATTTGAGGATCATAGAATCACCAAAGTTGGAAATGACCCACAAGATCATCCAGTCCAACCGTCTGTCTATCGCCAGTAGTTCTCACTAAAGAACAACACAATGTCTAAACCTTCCTTGAACACCTCCAGGGCTGGTGATTCCACCACCTCCCTGGGCAGAGAGCGTTATATTTTTATTATTTTGAAACCTAATCTTCCCCCAGTGTGAATGGAGGCCCGCTGGCAGGTCACCACTATGCTTTTGGGGGCACCTGCAGTTGGTGGAAAGCACACGGATCAGGAGCAGAGATGTCACCATCAGTTGCTGGGGCTGTACCAGCAGGCTTTCACAAGTTAACAGCCAAACTGCCTTCCATGAGCTCATATTGCGGTCACACCGCTGTCTCTGTGAGTATCTGATGGCAGGTCTTTCCAATCAGGCCACCTTGCTTGGAAAATTCAAACCAAATCAGCTGCTCGTGCAGCAGTGGGATTTAACTGACAGAACAGCAGTGGTAATGTTGCAGGCTGGTTCAGAGGAGGCCTGTTGCGCCCGTTTTCCATGCTTTCTCCTCCTGGCCTGCCCGCTGCCTGCCCCAGGTCCTCTGCAGCAGCACTGCCCCAGGAGGGCTGCAAGGTTTGCTCAGGAGCTGGGCTGTGATGAATCACAGTGGCATGGCATGGAGTGATAAGGTCGTGTACTTTACGATTAGATACATCCTCCCTCTAACAGCAGCTCTTTGTCTCCCTTTTGCTTTTGGTAATGTTTTTCAGCTGTTTGCATAGAACAACTCTCCAAGCAGGAGCTGCACAACTCGAAACAAAGTCGCTATTATTCTAGGTAAGCCCAGGAAGCTGGTAGAGGACCCCTAATAATTTCGTTGCCCTCAGAAGACATAGATTGTTGGTAATCTATTTAAAAGCCTATTAAGTTAAACCACTCTGAAAATATTTCTTTTCTTGCAGCCTAGCTGTGAAGGACCTTCAGATACATAAAACAGTGTGTAACAAGAAAAATCTGTCTTGCAGCTGTATTTAGGATTTTTTGGGTGTGCATTTTCAGTGATGCTTGTAGAGTGGCATGTTCTTATGTTCTTTATCTGTAGCTCTAACAGAAGAAAAAAAAAATATGTAGATTTCAGCTGTTTGTAGTGCAGGCATGCAGTCTGGGAGCCATGAAAAAATAAAACTATTATGTGATCCCCAAAATACTGAAGAATATGGACTACTGCTGTGTTTTTCACTTGACAAATAAACAGGTCTACCTTCTCATTTACAGCTGATGGAAAGCCCAGAAAACTCAGTAGGAACACTTGGGAGTTATTTGGGGAGATTTTGGACTAGACTTGTAAGGCGTGTAATTTAATCTATTGCCTACTTTAGTTAACAAATGGAAACCTTTTGAAGCTATGCTGAATACTGTATTTGTGACGCTACTATCCTTTCTCAAGGATTGTCCCCAGTGTCTCTCCAGATGTTGTCTATGAGCCCTTATGCTTCTTTCTTTGGCTTCTAGCTTCAGCCTGGCCTGAAGACTCATCTCACCAGCCCCAGTTTTTGCTACAGCTTCCCTCAGCTTCCTCAAACTCTCTTGGGTGTTCTGACTTCGTTCTTCCTTTGCTTACTGTCACTTAGTTGAATAGACTTGCTCAAAAGAATTTTCAGAAGTGAAACAAAGTAAGGTAGTCATGGGTGATTTGTTGGTTCACTACTTTTGTTTCTACTGTCTACAAAAAGGTTTTGTGCACTGTTTTTCCCATCACTCTGTGTAACTCCAGCACTTGGATGTCTTCTGTTGAAGAGGATCATTGCCACATTTTGTCACTGCTCAGTACGAGTTTCCCTGGCAACCAGCCTGAGCTACGCTGAACCAAAAATACCTTAATGTGCTGGGAGAATGTCAGTATTTGCAGACGTCTTTCTCATTAGTGACTTCTGTGGATCGTTCATGTATTCTGCAAATGTGATTACTGTGAAACTATGCCTGGGAAATGTGGCGTGCCTCTTGGCTTTCCATAGACAGCACAGTCTGGGAATGCTGCCTTCAGTGGTTGTCAACTGAGTTGTGGCTGTAACACCTACTGTACTCATTTTTCATGATACACTAAGGGTCTCATCTTTTACTCAGCATGGCCTGTGCAAGATCACAAAGAAACTGTGATCTTTCCTGGGCTTCTTGGATCTCTGCAAGTTACCTTGATTATTACTAGCAACCTTGCCATTCTCATCTATATATAAATGCATATACCTTGATTTAAAGGTGCACATACTCTGAGCTCCAGTTTTGCTGCCATCCTAGTCTCTCTCAAATGTTGACAACATTTCCCAATGAGCTGTGTATAAATCTTTGGGGGTCAGGATTTGCCAGTGCACACAGGTGGGAATACACAAACTGGAGGTCTTATTTCAAACCTTCCTATTTCATTTTTGGCTTTCAGATAGTCCTTTCTGTACCTACCGTGGAAAAGTGCTGTAAATAAAAACATTGATAATCTTAAGGTGTGTTCTCAAGCAAGACAATTACTAGAGACTAAATTGGAGAGAAGTACTGCATTTTTAGTAATGAGTTCTCTTTTCTGGATTTGTAGGGTGTGAGGATTGCGGTAAAAGCCTTATAGGAGAATGCAAACTTCATGGACCACTCATCAGGGCTAAAGACAGGGTTATTCCTAGCCGAGCCCGTCTCACCCTACCTCACTACCTTACTCTGCGAGTGTTGGAGCTGCGAGCTGGAAACCAGCAGAGTAAGTATTGTAGCTTTTTTTCCCGCATGTCATAAAGAGAAAGCCAGTAATACTAACACTATCCCTTTTTATGCATTACTTAAGACATAATCTTCAGGTATTACCTGTATGAAGCTGAGTGTAACTAAACCTCAAATTCAGCTACTGTTATTTATGACTGATTTCTAGTCCCTTCAGTGCAGGCTGATGTTTGGATATCTTCTGGAGCTGATGTGACATTTAATAGGAAGCTATCTGTTAGCTCATTTGAGTTTATGCAAGTACAATGAATGTTAAATCTGTAATAGTAAAAGCCATACGCTATTGCATATCTTTTTCCCAAGCCATGCAAAGAAACAAGAAAGTGTATTCAATGAAAGACAAGAAGCAAAATGGTAAGTAACATCTTTCATCCAGCATGCAAACTCCAAAGAATATAGGGTGTTAAATCACTTCTTGCAGCATCTTCAACTCACATTATAAAAAGTTTCAATGCTCAACCTTGAGCAAATGAACTACATGCTCAGTGTGCTGTGTAAAATTAGCTCTGCCTAGATGACATTTCAGAAAGGGAATAGCAAGATGCCTGTTACACTGCACCATTGGTTATAGGTAGGAGGTAACGAGATGAGTAAGACAGGTAATTTTGTTTTTTTGTAGATCTTCTCTAATATCAGGAGATGACAACTTTCTCAAGTATGCCTATAAGCATAGTGCTGTGATAACATCTTGTACACTGAAGACAGTCAGCCCATTTGAACATTGCATGTTAATGTCCTGGTGTGGATTTTAAGCACTTTTGTTGATTGTATTCAATGGAAGTTCCATTTTTACAAAGCCTCTTACAGGCTTGGATCCTCTTCAGACTCTTAACACTTTGAACGGTTTATCTGGTATATTTATCTTGAAGAAGAATTAATGCATTCAGGACTACTATGTTTAAATCCATTTTCTTAACTGTAACTATACAAGAAATAGTTCATTGTGTCTGCATTAATATTAGTCTGGTCTTTTTTATTTACAGTCCTTGGAGTATTTGCAAAGAAAGTAATACAGAAGAGAACACAGTTTGGTCCTTACGTTGGTCAGCTGTCTACAAAATTGACCTGCTATGATGAGAGTAGGCTAGTTCTGCAGGTAAAAACCCTGTGCCTTACCATGAAGTGTGTATGTGTCTTTTAACATTTCATATGGGCAACTTGCCTTCTGATCTAGTTAATTAATCGTACTTCTGATCTCTATGTGTGAATTTAAGTCATATTATTGGATTGCACAGCATAGCCTGAAGTAACAAGATCTTCTTGTATGCTGAGTTTAGTTTCCTGCTTTCTAGTTTTATCACTTCTGGGGTGATTTATCTATTCATCTAACTGTTCTTGATAAATTTTTCATGGAGTATAACTATTTGATGTATCCAGGGATAGTACTGTCTTCCCTAGTAGGGCTGTATTCACTTAGTTTGTTCAGCCCAGAGCTGAGGAGTCTGAGAGGAGGCCTCATGGCAGCCTACAGCTCTTCATAAGGAGAGAGTGGGGGCAGCACTGAGATCTGTTCTCTAGTGGCAGTGACAGGACCTGAGAGAATGGCATGGAGCTGAGTCAGGGGAGGGTCAGATTGGGTGTGAGGAAAAGACTCTTCACCTGAGGGTAATGGGCATGGCACATTCTCCCCAAGGCCGTGGGCACAGCCCCAAGCTGCCGGAGTTCAAGAAGCCTTTGGACAATGCTAGGGTATGAATTTTGGGTGGTCCTGTGTGGAGCCAGGGGTTGCACTCGATGATCCTTGTGAGACCCTTCCAACAAGGGATACTCCGTGATTCTATGAATTAGAACCAAAAGAATTTGTACTTTACACCATTTTATTGGGAGGGTCATGTGTGTGCACTGGCTTAGCAGTAGTGGCAGAAATATGCACTAGGACACCTGCTTAGTAGGAAGGAACAGTGCAAGAATAAGGAAGCATTCCTTAATTATGTGATTGTGCATAAACTTTGACAGGCAGTGTAATAATTCAGTTTATTTGGTCAGCTTCTTATTTTTAGAGCAGTTACTATCCCTTGCTGCATAAGCATGTGCTATTCATCCGATCTGGACCATTTACACCATTGTTTGTAATTTTTCCACGCACATGATGGCCTCTGTAAAGACCAGCCTAGCTTAGGTGTATCTTCATGAACATTTTTTCCCTTATAAGCTTCTTGGGAGTGATGGTTGGTCATACTCGTCTTATCCTAGCTCTCACCTGCACAGGTGTCTCTGTCACACAGCACATCTACATTCCAGCCACAGCCTCTGTCAGAACTCTGTGGCAAGTCTTGGTTCTTCCAAGACTCATCATTTAACATCAGTCCCTCTCACCTTCCAAGAGAGAGGGTCCTGTTATTTGCTGTATGTCTTCATTTGAGTTTTCTTCCTCAGAAGCTTGGGGCTGGAATACAGGCTGCTTTGGAGAAAGGCATACATACAGATAATTCTGCAGTTTCATTTGAGAATGAAAATTGTAGGTCCGTAATTGGTGTAGACTTCATTTGCTTACAAAAGCCATATGAATGGTCTGCCAGGAAGGTAACACTGTCCTTCTGTGGGATTTTCATAGCATGATGACACCAGAGAGCATTAGTTTCTTCTGTCCCTATGTAACACTTTAATTCTTACAAATGCGGAGAAGGTAAGGTACATATCCAGCAAGTTTGCGAGCATGGATGAACTAAGCACCCCGTTCCTTCCTCTCCACCAAGCCATTGCAAACCGCACCCTATGCTCTATCGGTCAGCCCAGTTTGCTTCAAAGTGTACTGTGATAAGCACAGTTCTGATTGATGAAAAGAGCATTTCTTCACAAGAAGAGACTGGACTCTGACTTTTCCTACATGGCAGCAGCAGTTGCCTTGGCATTTCTCTTAGCAGCGTTCTGAATGTGATTAAAGTGGGACTTGTCCAGCAGGCAGGTGTTTCCATTGGAAAAATGACAAAGTTGGGTAAAACAGTCCTCAGAAGCAGTGGAGATAAAACTTGTTTTGCAATTAATGGTTAGCTTAGGTGATTATTGGAACCAATACATGCAGTGCTGGCATCTGTTGTGCAGCTTCAAATATCTACGTTCAGTGTAGTGGAAAAGCAACTGTCCTGTATGAGGTTGGGGCTGTTTACTCATAGAGGCATTCCCTTGAAATGGAATCTAGGAAGAATGAAGTAAAGCAAAATGAATGAGGTCTTTCTGGCACGATTGTTCATTTGTATTTAATTTTACATTTTTAAAAACGAGATGACTGTTAAAAAGTCTCTTTGGAATTATTACACAACTTGTGTGATTGTTCCATGCAAACCAGCGTTAATGCAGCATTGAAGTTTGAGATTATCAGCTACTCAGGAAGTACATTAAGGCACGAAGCTTATCTTCTTACCTGCTTGCACTTAGTTCTTGTTCTTATAATACTATCTTCATATAACATAAAAAATGAGAAATATAAACTGGAAATACATACAAAGGCCTTACAGCTATTTTACTAGTTGCGTGCCTCAGAAGATACTCATTCTTCACTTTCTTTTGCACTTGGTGTTCTCTAAGAGTGATCTATTTTGAAACAAACATGATTTCAAAGAATTTATCACCACAATAAGGTAAATAATTGGTAGCCCTGATTCCAAATTTTAAAAAAAAGTTAATAAGTCTCTGTACAGGACTTAGTTTTTACCATGTTATTTCTCCAACCCACCCCCTTTGTTTCAGGTATTGAAAGATGGAGGGAAGTACTTTCTGGACACTCCCAATGAAGACTGTGGAAACTGGATGATGTTTGTCCGGCTAGCCCGGAACCAAGAAGAACAGACCCTTGTGGCTTATCAGCACTGTGGAGAAGTCTACTTTACAACTGTTAAGGTAGTTAAACCCACATTGCTTCACCTGTCATTCAAATGGCAATTTATCAACAAAGATTCTGAAAGACCAACCCGTTTACAGATGAAAGATTGATTGTATTCAGGCAACTGGTGCTTTCGTACGCACCACCTTTTATATCACTTAATCCATAGTAAAGCAAGCAGTGTATGGGGTTTTCCAGTGAAAGGTAATGTGTACATATGCTGTGGGTATTGAAGAAACTGAGCAGAGAAATGCAGAAATATCGTTCGTGGTGGCAGTGTTTAAACAAGAACACTGCAAAGTGTTACCATTCCAGTTTGAAATTGGCACGTTGGGAGATTGTCCTGCAGGATTACCTTCGAGAGTGCTTCTTCCTGGAAAGCACTTTTCTTTATTGCACTTTTGGGCACAGGTTGTGTTCTGAGCACATTAGAGGATTCTAAGTAGCTTCTTCAAGTATTGTTTTCTACTCTGATTAAATTTGAGGACTTAACTGCAGAACTTACAATACTATAATGTTGCCATGAAACAATCAATTTATAATAGGGATTTTGGACTGTGCCTCTGTCTTAGGAGAGAAAATAGAGAACTCTGTATTTGTAAATTACACAGGAATTTACACACTGGAACAGGTTGTGGATGCCCTGTCCCTGAAGGCACTGAAGGCCAGGTTGGATGTGGCTCTGGGCATCCTGGTCTGGTGGTTGGCGATCCTGCACAAAGCAGGGGGGTTGAAACTAGATGATATTGTTGTCCTTTTCAACCCAGGCCATTCTATGATTCTGTGATGATTCTATGAATATGTGGTCTTCTTGGTTTTTGCTGTTTTGGACACCTTATCAGACTTTTTTTTTTGTTTTTAAATCAGAACTTAACTCTTACACGTGTAGGAAACTGAAGTCTTCATGTTGAACATTCCCTTTTTTTTCTCCCCCTTTTTTTATTCTAAGTAAATGCCTGCATAGCACTGTGAGTAACGTAGGAATAAGAAAATACTAGTCATACTTACCACACAGTGATGGTGTGAGAATAAATTAATGGTGATAACACTTTGCATCTTCAAAGTCTTTTATAACACAATTTTTCTTTGGATGAATAGTAAAGCAATTAAAAAAATCAAAATATAGCAGTATATTCCAATCTGTGATGATGTTTAGGCTGTTTGGAATTCTGATTCAGTCAATACAATTTTAAATATATGTTGTATGTGTAGAACTGAGAGCATTAATCATACTCTATTTGGAAAGCACGAACAAATGTTTTTTCTAAGCTGCATATTTATGAAACTGGTGACTTAAAATTTCCAGTAGAATTTAAATACTGTATTGACACAGCTCACTGCTTTCAATAGAATTGCTCGTGAGCATTAATGGAGAGTTGCATCCTTGTCGTTATTAAAATGAAGAGTATCTTGGGATGAGTAATGCGCTTTGGAACCCTTACTATGCACTGTGGGGAGTTAGCCTGTTTTTCTCACTCCTAAGTCCTGGTGCCATTCATAGTACTGTGGCATCCTGCAGATTTTGTCCAGGTCAATAAGGTAAAATAGCCTTCTGCTACACTGAGGCACACCCTGCTGGTCACATTGTGAGGCTGCCTTAGGGCTGGTTATGAGGATTTTTTCTCAAGAGAGTTTGAATATCTGATGAGAGTGGAAGTATTGGCTCCATTGTTTTTACAGAAAGCTGGGATATCACTTTAGAGTAAAGGCAGAAGATTTTTAGTGACTTGAAATTGTGGCTACAAAAGCATACATATATGGATGGATACATGTATACTTTTCTCCATCTGGAGCACATGCAGGAGCTCAGTGCATGATTGGTCTCCTAAATGATGTTTCTGCCTCTAATCCTTTGCAAAGTGGAAAATTCACTGTGTACCATTTCTGTTTAGGTCAGGTGTTATTGGAACATACAGCTGACCATGCTGGTTGTAGTAAGCAAGCATGTTTGTGCTTCAGAAGTTCAGGTTTTGGACATTATGCATACAAGTATCTGCCACCTTCTAGCGTTCACAGTCTAACTTATCTTTCACCTACAATGCTTATGCAATGTTGATGTTGTAAGTGCATTTTAAGATGTGATGGCAGCTGAGTCTTGTTCCATATGATGTCTTTCCAGGCTAGTTTGTTCTTTCTAGTGGCATAAATGTAGTTTAGTTGAAACAAAACAACAGGTACAATGCAGTTTGGCTGTGCATCTTTTGAAAGGATGTTAGTTTTGATTACAGGTGAATAAAGTGGCTTACAACGCCAAGAAGTCATATAGTTACTTCTCTCCTTTCCTTCTAGATATGTAATAAATCTTGAGCCAGTTAATCTAATCACTCATCTTTCTTTTTCTGTCTGCTGCTGTATTGACTGAAAGTACTTTATGATGAGGTGGTAGTTCAGTTCAAGATTTGCTGTATGCATGACTGGATGGAGGACTGCAGATTATGGACTTCCTTAATCCTGTGTAGGAAGGCTTCAGTGAAAGAAGGGCAGGGGGTACGAAATAGCTTGTACATTGAATCATTAAGGTTGGAAAAGGCCTCTAAGCTCATCCAGTCCAGCCATCAGCCTTTTGCCACCATTCATATTGAGCCTCACCCATTAGAGCCAGTGCATGTAAGTATGCAAGTTTGATTTGAAGTCCACACATTAATCACTCTGAATCTGTGCATCCAAGAGGTGTTCAAGCTGTTACACATTCATTATGCAATTTTCTTTTCCCTATACCCTGTAGTTAGGTGTCACGTTCAGTGGGCTTTAGGAACATCAAGGATATTTCTTGGACAGACTGCTGGACATCTGGACATCACAGGCAAATAAATCTCACTGAAGTTGGGAGGGCTGAGGCATCTGTCCTACTATGATCCCCCAAAATCTCTGTACATACAGGTCTGTTTTTAGAAACTCTAAAGATTCAAACCTTTCAGAGTGGATAATAATGCTCAGAAAGTGTTTGTTTGAATCTTGAAACTAAGTTACCAGTAATTTAAATAGATTCAAAGAATGCAACATGAGTAATGATAACAAATTGCATCCCCCTCCCTCCAGTCTTCAACATAGTATTATTTGATGTAGGTAAACAGGCATAAGTAAATGTGAACTATTTTCTTCCATTCACAGCCAATTGAGCCCCACACAGAATTGAAAGTATGGTACGCTGCCGATTATGCCAAATTTATGGAAACTTCTGCAGTCTTCATTAAAGAAGAATCTGATGTCAGTCCTTTGCCTGTAGTAGCAGTAAGTACCACTAATCTACATTGAGGCTGTCACCATGTAGTAAATTGTGACTATTTACATGCTCTGCGTGGTAATGCTAGAGCAAGTCACAGAATAGTTGGCTAACACAAAGCCAGGAGCAATTTTAAAGGAACAACTGTCCATAGTAAGGCTGCTCTTTATATCCTGTGTTTGTAATCTAATGATGACATCAGACATATCCAGAAGTAGTGATTCCATGGGGTGTGCTGGAAAGACTTATTTCACTTAGGTAGCCAAGCCTTAGATGTCTGTCTAGCCTTAGATGTATCTCAGCAATTCCCATTTGTTATGCCATGACCAGTTGTTCAGATAATGCACTGATTGCTTCAGTCTTTCCTGTGTAATAACCCTTCTGTTCACCTTTCTCTTTGTATGATAGTAAGAATTCTTAAAAAGACAGGAAAGGTTTCTGAATACTGAAAATGTAACTGTGAAGACTGATATCTAAGCTAGAAGGAAATGTTAAACAGAGAATACAGTTGAACTTGGAATTCATAGGTGCTCCAGGTGCTCCCTATTGCTTCATTTGCACAGAGGATTTTAGAGCATAGTCCAGAAAGAAGGCATAGAAGAGCCATAGCATAAAATACAGAAAAGAAGGAGTAGGGCTCTTTGTCTCTGAATAAAGACAGAGTAGACATGGCTTCACTATGTTCTCCAAAGTAAGCGAAGGACAAGGGAAAATAATATCACTTTGTGAGAAGTACAAACAGCTGAGGATATACAGGGCTATACATCTGGAAATACATTTTGTTAATACATTTTGTCAGGAACTGGTGGTTGTTTTGGGCTTGGTTTTTTTGCACAGTTTTTCATTTGAATGTTTTAAATGTCTGTATTTAAAATATGTTCAATTGAATCCAGTGGAGTTTTTATTTTCACAGAAATAATTCCAAATAATACAATGCTTGCAAAAAGAAAACCAAACAAACACAAAAAACCGAAAAACTTAAATGTCTTTAAGGATAGGCTTGATATCCCCAAAACTAAATTGTTCCATTTTGAATTAGTAAAGTCTGATGTCCAGCATGAAGCAAAGTGAAAAAGTCTCTCCTGGAGGCATTGACTACTGCCTTCTGGTAAAGGGGTGTGGAGTCAGCCAAAAATAGAGGGAAATCCTGTATGGTAAACTACATTTGTGTGCAGAAGCCTACCCAATTAGGCAGGCCCTAGTTCTGTGATTTTTGTACAGTTGCAATAGCAGATAAATGATGTCAATCCAAGGTTAAAGTACAATTCTCAACTGCTTTTATAAGTAATTCCATAATAAGAACAAATAGACTTTGAAATTCAGTACACAGAGATGAGCAAAGGTGAAGGACTCAGTACTGCTACAGTAAATGCTAAACACAAATGTGGAAATCGGTATTTAGTCAATCATTTTTTATTTTTTTTTCCTCTTCTGGTTTTTAGACTCCTAGAGAGAATCCGTTTCCTGCTGAACAGCAGTATTGTAGTACGCTGAAGTAAATATGACCAAGGACAGCACGTCCTGGGAAAACCCAGAGATGATGTAGTGTCAGTGAGAATATGACCTTTCCTTAGAATGCCTAATAAGAAAGACCTGCTTCTGTTCTCGTTGCAGAAAGAGCCTGTAGACCCTTGGATATGCTCCAGCTGTAGAAGTACTTTTGCAACTTTTGCTCTGCTGGAATCTCACCAGTGCATCAATAAAGACCGAGTCCTTACCACCAGGCTCAGACCACCAAATAAATTAGGATCCTTAAAAGCAAAAAACAAATTCAAAGGGAAACTGAGAGGATCGGCATTAGGCAAAAGCATTGCTCAGTGCTATGGGACCATTTCCTGTTCCTCTGCTGCGAAGCTTAGCTGTGCCAGCTCAGGAAACACTTGTGATGCTCTTGTGAGGTTTATACCTAAATGGAGAAATGGCCGGTCTTCACTGTTGAAGGGAAGAGAAGTGAAGCAGACAGACAGTTACCCTTGCCGACTCTGTGGGAAGATATTTGATTCCATTGAAAAGCTCACAGTCCACGCTTACGTGCATAAAGCGGAGCGCCCCTACAAGTGTTCACAGCACGGATGCACAAAAGCCTTCATTTCCAAATATAAACTGCTCAGGTACAGCTCTGAAGGCACTCCTTTTCTTGTGTGGGAAAAACAAGGACATCCTTTTCTTCTTCAGTGTCCTTGTGACAGTTAATCCCCAAGTTCAGTTTTCATATTCCCGTGTTTGCAATAATTGAGGAAACTAGTCTCCCTCAATTGCTATTCAGAAAGAACCTACTGTATGCTTTATGATTAACACACTCCTCTAAAAAACAAAAAAGTTAGGCTTTTACTACTAATAATCTGAGAACTTGTGAAAATGCCTTCCTTCAAGAGGGCCAGTGTTTTCAGGTCTTGAAGCTGCACTGTGTACTTGAGTAAATGTAAATGCTGATTACACTTTTCTTCTGTTTTAGGCACTCAGCCACTCATTCTCCACAAAAATCTCACCAGTGTGGCTACTGTGAAAAGACATTTCATAGGAAAGACCATCTGAAGAATCACCTTCAGACTCATGACCCAAACAAGATGGCTTTCAAGTGTGAAGAGTGTGGCAAGAAGTACAACACCAAGCTAGGTTATAAGAGACACTTGGCTCTTCATTCAGCCACCAGTGGAGACCTTACCTGTAGGGTATGTGCTCAGGAGTTTGGTGGCACTGAAGTTTTGCTGGAACACCTCAAAAGTCATGCAGGGAAACCAACTGGCAACACCAAGGAAAAGAAACATAAGTGTGACCATTGCGAGCGTCACTTCTATACCCGTAAAGATGTGCGGCGTCACATGGTGGTTCACACAGGTTGCAAAGACTTTCTATGCCAGTTTTGTGCCCAAAGGTTTGGGCGGAAGGACCACTTGACTCGCCATACAAGGAAGACTCATCCACAAGAACTGCTCAAGAGCAGGTTGCAGAATGGTGACTCGGTAGGTCTCCTTGACCAGCTTTTTCCATTCAGACTGAAGGAAGATGCCAGCATATTGTCCCCTTTTCCTGAAAGGGTCTCGGTGCAGAATGGAATTTTGAATAATTCAGAACCAAAGGAATACAACTGTTCACATCTTCATCCCCAGACAAGCGTACAAACTGCTCTTCCTATTGAACCTTCTCCTCTTTTGCAAAGAATGGGCTGTGCAGATAGCCTTGCAGCTGTCCCTCCCACACCATGCTCAACAGCCATCCCTGCCAACCTGAACCTTCATCAGTCTAATAAATATGACCTTACCTCTACCTCATTTGCAGCAGGCTCCCTCAAGAATCTTCCTATCAAAGTGGATGTTAAAGGTTACAACGTCCATCTTCTAGAGGACCTGCCACTACCAGAACCTCAATCTCTCCACAAAATCAGTCTGGAAGAAACTTCCTCAGGGCCTATAGGTGATACTAACAAATACCCAGTGCACAAGGAGACAGAGACAGCAGCTGAAACTACCAGCATGCCTTTCATGGATCTCACTCATGTGATGAGTTTCTGGCAACTCCCACAAGGTGACAACCAGAGCACTACTGGGGATATCGCAATGGCATTTGGTCCAGAGGAACCATCACAGAGGCTGAATGGCCTCAGCCAACAGCAAGGTCTACAGCTAGCAACTGGTGGCATGGCCATAAACCAGCTGCATCATCTTCCTCGCTCTTTTCCATCCACTACAAATTCTGTAACGTTGCCTCATTTTCATCATGCCTTCAAATAACTATGCTTTTTTTTTTCTTAAAAAAAAACAAAACAAAAAACTGTGCTTCTTACTTAAATCTGTTAGGAAGGGTATTTTTTGTTTTTCTTCTTTTCTGTTTCAAGAAAAACTGTCCCAATTTTTTTTTTTTTTTTTTTTTTTTAAAGCATGTTATGGACATGGTAGTTCAATTCAGAATGTTAATAAACAAGAAGCTCTATTTTTCATACTATTATTAATTTTTAGCATATGACAATAGTAGGACTAACATACTTCCCTCAGTACCCTTGATATTCTTGTTTCTTACCTTTTAAACAAACAGCTTAATGTCTTCAACAATAGCAAAGCCTCATAATAGGCACAATGAAACTATGGCTGCCACAATAGGAGAAATAGGGTAAATGGGAAGAAGGAGGAAAGAACAGAAGAATAATTTTAATGAGCCATAAATCACAGGAAATGTATACGCATGGCAAACTTAAGGTGAATAATTTATCAGTGTGATACAGATTTCTTCTAATTAATTACCAAATTTTATGAATCTTTAAATCAAAATGATTCCAAGAATAAATCTTATCTTCTAGTTCCACTCTTTTAAAACAAAGAAAATCACTGTTGTGATTACACCTAAGTAGACTTCTTTATTTTCTCCTAAAGTGCACTTTGGCTTTGTGCATCTCCTGCATTTTTCCCAGGGCTGGAAATAACTACCACTGCTGCATGGTTACACCAAAGCAGATGTCTTGTATAGATGTAGTTTTCAGAACGGGAGATGAATTTGTCTTAAAGATTGGAGATTGCACAGGGGAGCCTCCAGCCAAGGTCTGCCTTCAGTGAGGCTGTGTTAGGTCCCCATGCAGAAGAGCTTGTGGTGGTTACCTCAGGATGGGCCTCTTCAAAACAATGGGTTGTGAACCTGTCTCAAAATGGCATAGGAAATCAGCAGGTATGATAATGGTTAGATCATCTTCATCCTGTGCTTTTTGCTGAGTGGTATTTTGGTAGTTTCACCCAAATCAGAATCACGACTTACATTTGCTTCCTATAGTAGACTGCTATATGTTTCCAGCTGATGTAGGTGTTACAGCCCTGTCCCAAGACCAACTAGCAGAAATTGCAAAAAAATCACATCTCCTAGTAGATAACATTTAAACAAACAAACAACTTCAGAATTTACTTGCTGCCTTGCATAACCCATTCTTAAAAAAAAAAACAGAACACCATTTTAGCATATGATGCCATTACTAGTGGGTTCTGTCACAGCTGAAACAGATGCAGAGTTTCTGAATCAGAATATGCAATCTCTTGTACTAAATTCACTTAGAATTAATAGTACCTAATGATAATTACAGATACACCATGAAGCAAGCTTGTTCTCTTCTCCCTTGGTAATCACAGAACTATTTCCAGGCAACTTCAAATAAAAAACAATATTTGTGAATCACTGATTGCTGTTTTGCTGTTAATGAACTGTAATTATGTGAATATTTTTACAAGTTTATCATTATTTGGATTAAGGGAAGGTGGAATTATTGGGCTTTGTGCAGAAATATGTTCTTCAGATACACTGGAGAAGTTTTCTTATTTTTAAAAATCTTGGCATAGGGCAAAACAAAATAAATTTTAACATCATCATAGCAGGGATAGCAGTAGGAAGAATAGGTTCAAGTCCAGTTAGCAGTTGTTCAAATTACAGTTCAGTGAAGAGTGAAAAGGTTGGAAACAGTGTTACATGCACATCTTACAACTCGTAATTCTGCTCAGACTTGGAAAGCTATGCGTGTACCTGTTTACTGCATTGTTTTCCTTGTTCGTGCAAATTGCATTCATGTGGCTACATTCAAGCTTATGTACTTGTAAACAACAAAAAAAAAAAGAAACAACACCAAATGATGCATTCTTGTACATGCCTGATCATATATGATTAGCAGACGCTTTGGATTGTGCTTTTCTAAGAGGTTTGATACGTTATGAAATACTCATCTTTGAATTAAAATAAGACGTTAAGAAGGAAACGCTGCAGTGTTGCACAACAGCCACACTGTGAGCTACTCACTGCAATGGGAGCAGAGCTCTGGGCTGCCAAGAGACATGCTGGGCCCTGGTTGCAGTCTCTTATGAAACACTGAGGTACATTAGTGAGAGATGTTGGTCATACTGAACTGCGAGTTAAAGGCTAAGTCTCAGTCAAGTACAAAGTAAAAAGGGCTTGGGTTGGAAGGGCCTCGAAGATCATCTACTTCCAACTGCTCTGCCATGGGCAGGGCTGCCACCCCCTACATTGGGCGAGATCAGGCCGCCAGGGGAGAGCAACCAGTTTTGCATTAAAACTCATAAAAAGCAGACTGCAACATCGACAAGTAAAACACAGCACACCGTGGTGACACCTGCAAGTAAAACACAGAAGCAGACCTTAAATAGGTGCTGCTGCTGCTTTAAGTCTCCAGTCTATTCAAAATAGCTTTTCTAGATTCTTGACATCGTAAATATAGACACAGCTCAGCAGCAGTCCATATATAGTATGTGGTAGAAATATCCTAGTACAACACAAATGAAAAGAAAGAACTATTTTTGCCTGCAGATTAGCTGTCACCACTTCATTGCAAGATCTTATTTATGCGTTACCAAATGTTAAGTCTGCATAGCACGCAGCTTCTATGCTGACATGAAAATGCACAAGTCAAACATATCTGTGCTTAATTCTGCACAGCTCTGGGTACATATTACATACTATTCATACACCTCTTCCCTAAACCAGGATAACCCTGGTTTATTTTACATCCCATCGCCATCATTGTCATCTTGTGCTTGCCTGCAGCGCTGCATGCTCCACACATGGGCATGCTCATGCTGAGCTCAGCAAAGCTGTGTGGCTGAAGCCTACAGAATGCAGCCATATGCTCCAGCTCACAAGGCACAGAGCATATAGCATCTTGGTCTTATTTCTCTCCTTAAAAGCCATCACATTCTGTGCACAGTTTGGAAGAAAAGGTTTGGGACATACAGCCCTGTAGAGCTCTGATAGAGCAGGGAGATCCCACCCAGGTCTGGCACTGAGCCTCCGCAATACCTCAGGGTATTTTACCTCACGTTATATTAGACATGAAAACAGTCTGTCTATCCATCTGAACTCTGCTTGGACACGTTTGCTGCTAAACGACAGAATTCCTGTAATCAAGAGAGGCTGTGAAATTGAGAAACTCGATGAACATCTGCTCTCATAGAGAAAAAGCACTCGTTTGAAAGTGAGAAGATGGAAGCCACGTGAACCTGCTGAGATAACACCGAAGTGTAAGCATTGGAGTTGGCGGAACAAAAGAATCTTCAACCTATGTATCTTCAACACACAACTGTTTCTAGTGTTCATATCCCAGCCCATACCGGGGAACACATTCATTACTTTTTAACTCTGCTTTTATTTCTAAGTTGGTCCTGTTCAGACTCTCATTTTCTTAACCCGTGAGTTTTTACAGACAGTCCAAAATGGGACAGCAAGTTTCATATATTGATGATTGGGTGATACATTTGCTATTAGCAGAGTCTGTAAGCACTGTTCTTCAGTACAGTGTTCTCAACCCTAAAGTTCAGCGTTCTCTAAGATGCTCAAAAGTGATTTGTGGAATCAATACCAAAAACTTCTGAACACACCCAGGAGAAAACGAAGAGGGACTAAAAAGGGCAAAGGAGCACTGCTTTAATACACCTGGGCTCACTTTGAGCCTGTTGTGTGTGTTTAAGACCATCTAGCTAAGGAAGTTGCACTTGTTTCAGTCTCATCTTTTTTATAGCTACCTATCATACTAGCTAGAGGGTAAGGTCTTCTATTTATTACTGCTGTGTCCAGCTGCTTTTCATTTTCCTTAAAAGCATCTAAGAAACAAGAAAACTGCTCATGATTTTTAACTGAAAGCATTGTTGGAAATTGGGCTAAAAAACAAAAAACAAAAAACAACCCACACTACCACCACCAAGCAAGGTGGTTTAATACTGCTAATGAATAAGGTGGCCAAAACATGTGCCTCCACATCCTTCTGGCTTAGTAATCAGTTTCCAATAGCAATTGAATTTTTTAAGGGAGAGTGAGATTTGGTTTTAGTTTGAGCTTGAAGTGCTTTAAGCTGATGTACCACATACACTGCCATCTGTTGCTTAGTTATCACTAACATTCATCATTTGTTGCTTACTGGAAGATTCGATTAAATAACGTATAAAGAGCTTCAAATTGTTCATTTTGTTCTATATGCCAAAGCAAAGTAATGCAGAAACAATCCCATGGCACAGGATCTTCCTACATTTTGTCGAAACCATCACAGAACCATAGGGGTTCAAAGGGTCCTCTGAAGATGACCGAGTCCCACCCCCTGCTAAGGTCCCTGAGAGCATGTTACACAGGAAAGCAGCCAGGTGGGTCTGGAACATCTCCAGAGGAGGCGACTCCACAGTCTCTGTGGACAGCCTGATCCTGTGCTCCATCACCCTCACAGGAAAAAAGTCCTTTCTGATTGAATGGACCACAACCTTTCAGGTGATGATTTAATTAGATTTTGGCAACTCGTACGGATGATCTCACAGCTTTAAAAAGGACAGCCTGAAAGCTTTATGGCCAAGGGAAAAATAAAGAAGACAGAACTTCCATTATTATTTTTAATTGGAGATGGTACCTGTGGTATTATTACCACTGCATCAAAACAGACTGAGCTGCAGCACTTGGGGTAGAAGGAGGTGCTGGAGGATCACATAGTTAAGGCCCATAGTGCTTCTGCAAAACACCTTAATGTGTCCCTGGCAGGCAGCCACTCTATCTTCTGGTCTGTGTCTGCTGTCTGAAAGCAGCAACAAGCCACATACTGGTTATTTACACTGAAACACATAACTCCCTTTTAGCTAAGATGATTAAATCAAAGCAATAATATAAAAAGGCTTAATTTTAAATATTATCTTGGAGGGCTGATTCCTTTCAATATCTTTTGTAAACATTTAGCATTTAAGTTTTTATGAACAACACAACATTACTCTCTCCAGAGGTTTTCTTGCCTCTTCTCAGGTGTTTGTTGCACTTTTTATTTTCACAAAACCATCACACAAAGGTTAAACTCATAATGTTTTTAAGTGAGTGAAGTCAACTTCAGGAAACAGAATTTTTCAGTTAGCTCAAGGACAATCTGTAAGTGTTACACAGGTCAAGGAACTGCTTGCTTTTGTCTTTACCTTTTAGATTAAATAATCCTTAGAGAGATTTGCAGCTCCCTCAGCCATTTTTCTGATACCTCCTTCCTCAGTACTGAAATCATACTCAGAATCTGCCACCTGATAGCAAGGAGGCCAGGGGCACTTCCTAACCTCTGCTTTGCTGATTAGCACGCCCATCTCCTGTTCTGTCCAGCCTGCACATAGGCTGCACTGTCCGCAGTGCAGATGCTTGGACTCAGCCATGATGCTACAAAAAGATGCCTTCTCCCCAGGCCTTTCGGCCCAGAGGGTCAGAACTAAGCCCTGAAAATGGTGGTATGATCAACAGATGTCTGTTGATGGTCTGCGAGCCCTGCATGGTAACCCTAAGAGTTCATACACTGTTCATATAGGAACTCTATGTAGAGTGCAGGAGAGCACGAGACTTGCTAAAGATGTCTGTAGAAATAAAATAAAAAATTAAAAAAAAAGAGTATTCCTTACCCAAATTGTCCAGCAGATTTTTTTACAGGAGACACACGCAAAGGTTTTCTGCTTTTTTGCAGTGTTTCCTGAGGAGTCTCTGCAGATAATTATTTTAAGATGTTATTTGGCATAAAAAAATTCTAACGTATGTGAACCTAAACTCCAGAAATGTAAAGATAGAAGATACTGATACACAAATACATCAAACTGCACTGATATACAAATAATAATATCATAGAATCCTTAAGACTGGAAAAGACCTCTAAGCCATTAAGTCCAACCATCAGCCCATCCCCATCACACCCACTGACCACATCCCTCAGTGCCACATCCACACAGCTCTTGAACACCTCCAGGGATGGTGACTGCACCACCTCCCTGGGCAACCCATGCCAGTGCAGCACCACTCTTCCTGAGAAGAAGTTTTTTGTAATATCCAACCTGAACTTCCTCTGGAACAACTTTAGGCCATTACCTCTCATGCTATCACTGCTACCTACCCACCTCACCACAACCTCCTTTCAGGCAGTTGTAGAGTGATATGGTCTCCCCTGAGCTTCATGTACTTATGATCACTCACAGATGACACCACAGTTAACTCTATAAAGCATCTTTTAAACAGACTGGTTATGATTGCTGGTAGCAGTGAATACTAGCAAGCATACTGTACTGAATCCTGATTAGAGGGAACAATTTTAAGGACATGGCAGTGTAATTTTTAAGGCTCAATCAACAAGTGAGAGTCATATCAAATGAACAACATGCAAAGCCTGATGCTTCATCTTAATTGACCTGAAAGATAAAGAATGCGATATTATGGAATCGTTTATGGGAAAGAGGGAACTCGTCTCCCAGACAGCACACTTCAGGTTTATATAGAAGCTTCTGTTTGAGAACATCTAACTTAAAAGGCTAAGTCCCTTCTTAGAACCTACTTGAAAACCTCTGTGCATGAAACTGGCGCAATGGATCGGGATGATTTGTATTGCCATTTGATATCAGCAACATCCATTTGGAGCTGGTGGAGTCTGTTCTAAGGTAAACATAAATATAGCTAATTGAACTCCTTACCTGGAGTAGATTTTTCTGCGTTATCAACCTTTTGTATTCTCTTCTCATGCGGTAACAGAGGTGTGACAGTTGGTTTTTTTCTCTGAGTCACTGGTTGTTTGCCCTAGGGTAAGAGAATAAGATGCACAGCGTACGCAAGAAGTTCACAGAGCCCCACAACAATTCTCCAAATTGCTGAAGCAGTGTTAGAAAAGGACAAGTGCACCTGCTCCCATTAGGATGCTGCTTTTAAGCCTAAAAAGCACAACAACATTTGTTTGTGTTATTATTTTTAATAAAACAAAAGAGGAGCTCACTTAAAGACACCGCCAATTAGCTCTGCTTTTCTGGTTCCCCAAAGATGCTTAGACCTTTCGTCTTGTGTCTTGCATTTAGGAAGCTTACCAACTTCCCTGGAACCTTAGGTTAAATATTAAAACAGGTTTTACTCAACCTAAAGTACAATTTGGCAGATCTGTCTCAAGGACAACGCAAGTGTGAACATGTTTGCTTACCAGAGGCTGTTTGGTGATCTTGGCGGCAATGGCGCGGCGAGTAGCTTGTTCTTCACAAAATTTGATGTGCTTTGCTGCTGCAGCCTCGTTGAATCTTCTCAAGCAGAATGGACACTGAATATAGTCTGATCATAGGAAAGGAACAGGTGGTGTCACAGCTGTTATAGCACAAGAAAGGATTTGCCCTACTTCACTGAAGTACCCAAGATGGCTCCATCAGCTGGTGATCACAGTAAGCTCCCATCAGCTCTTAATGTCTCAAAAATTAGAAAATTAGGAGAATTACAAGAAAAGCACTTAGGATCCTAAAGCACATGCTTATGGGATTAACTCAGCAAATCGCTACCAGAAGGAAATCCCTGGGCATTAATAAAAGCAAATTAAAATAACTTTGACCTAGGCCCTCTCTCTCAAAATTTCACATTAAAAAAAATCTGCAGTTAAAGCAATATTTAGAAATTCCTTGAAGAGTCAAAATATATTTCAAGACTAGTTTTTAAGTGTGGCCATCAACATTCTCATTTATTTTAGTGAAATGCATTTCCTTTGGACACTGCTTAAAATATTGCTTAAGAGGCTGCCCCAGTCAGCTAAGGGGTACTAAACAGCCAGGTTTCTAGGTATGAAGTAGTACTGTGAAGAACACACAGTAGTGCTTCCTACAGTTGCTTCTGGCAGTGTTATAAGCTCTGATTCCCCATTGCATTTAGCACTGGTGCAGCCCTACTCCTCTCAATAAATGGTCCGTGCTCAGGGTCAGCATTCTTTCAGCTCAACACAGTCGTGCTCTGCCAAAGCACTACATTTATCAATCTCAGACTCCCAGCAGTGGGAACTGGTGCACCAAGGTTTGCAATCTATCTGGAGAAGGAAGAGTGGGAATGGGAACCTCTCTCCTCCCCACATTACATGCTCTTTCTCTCCAGCCCTGAGCTACTGGGTATGCATCCCCACCATGCCCCTCAACAATTGGCCTTTCCCCAGTTCCTTTCTCCACAGCTCCCCCAGCTCTTGCATAAATCCAGTTACTCAAAAGAGAGAGAAGGAAAGGGAGGGGTTTGCTCTTAGAGTTGGTGGAGTCAGATGAGAAATAACAGAGTAATTAAGGTACTCAGCAGTGGAAGTTCAGAGAAGAGCTTGACCCCAATTAGGGAGAGAAAACATGTCCATGCTTATACTGCATTGCTAACATCTAGAAGAGGAAGAAGACTGCAGTCCTCACAGCTGGTTTTGGTATCAGTCACGAACTCCTAGTCTGCATGGGAGCTGCAAGAGCCCTCCCTCCTTCTTCCCTCCCTCTTCCTTTATGGCTCAGGAGGGACTCTGCAGATACCTTTTCCAAGATTGCTCCTACATTTCATAAATCATCTATCATGAGGAATATTGGCTGTACATTTCTGGATCTGTAACTTCTAACACGGTGAGCTCTGGGTACAGACCACACCTGCTATTAGGAGTCAAAGCAGTCACGTTTTCTAAATGACTTCCCCTAATGGCACAGCTGGGGTGGGGAAGTGGATAGTGGAAAAGCTATCACACAGTAGCAGGAAGCCTATATGCACTACATCCGATCTGAGTGGTGAGTCTGTGTGTTTTGCACTTTGTCACACAATGGTACCATTTGCAGTATACAGGCATCCCAGCTCTCCTCCCAAAGCACTAATGCCTGGCTCCAAACTTGCCACTTTTATAAGCCACAAAGGTTCACCTATCTTTCTATTTCTCCCCACTTCCTCTTCACTGCACTGTTCCTCAAGCCAAGAAACACAGAAAAAAAAAAAAAAAAAAAGAGTATGGAAGGAATCAGAGTTCACATGGTGTTGTGCAGCGAGGTACAAAACTGAAATCCAGCTGTACATAATAAGAGCTCATCGCTTTGCTAGAAATCAGTACAAGATCAAGAATATGATAAACTGAGCCACAAACCTGGATTGATGCTTGGTGGGGGAGGAGGAGGAAGAGGACGACCTTCTTGCATAGCTTTTGTCACTTGTTTGGCTGATTGAATGGCATTAATAAAATCTGCATGGTGCTGCCTCCAGTTAGATTTCTTCACCGGCTGATTCTGCAAAGGAAATTAAGGAAGACACAAACTTCCTGTGAGGGACAGAGAAATGTCTTCAAGTGAGGGTTCTCCCTTTCCAAGAGAAATATTACCAACAAAATAAACTTTCTTTTTTTTTTTTGAAAGGCACAGGAAAGCTGAAGTAGCCTTCTGACACCTATTAACAACAGCAGCAAATAGATAGGGGAACAAAACACTCCAACAAGAACACTCTGGTTGTGGCAGATCAAAGGGTGCATAAGAGGGAATGGAAAAGACAACATGATCACCATCATTTTCAGTGATTTGGTATATCTGGGTAAAACTATACACATATGCATGTCTTCCCATCCTCATCATCATCATTACACAACCTTGAAGAGAAGGCTGCAGGAAACTTGCATAGTACTTAGAATACACAAAGGGACATTTCCCAGAAAAGCAGAGACACTTGGTGCCTAGAGTAGTCACAGTATCTGCAGGTTTGGCTTCTGGACTGAAAATATTCTCCAATACCAGCAGCACACAGAGTGGGGAGAAAAGAACTTGGCACTGAGTCAAGAACATATGAAAGAATCGCAACATCCAGGCTTTGTCCTGGGAGGAAACAATCACCTTACCAAATGAAAGACTTCAAACAGAGATCATATGTGCTCCAACGTTAGCCATACCTTCAGCAGGGGCTGCCTCTTCACAGCTCCGATATCAGTTCCCTGCACCCTCTGCTTAAAAGAATTGAAGGGCTTGCGCTTCTTGTTGAAGACTTTCTTGCAAATGGGCTCATGCCTCATCTGGGATGCAAAGAAAAATCATTGCTTATGGGCTATATCATGCTTTGTTAACGATGCTTTAATATTCATTAAATTCAGGCTTTAATATTACTTGTATTCGAGAGTAGGGAGCTGAAGCAGTATTTTTCTCCAGGTTCAGTTTCACTCCTCAAAGAGTTCATCAGAACTTTTTTTTTTTTTTTTAAAGCTGCGTACAGCTGCACTTTCACATGCCCAGAGACACACTGGAGTTCAGCAGGGAAAAACACATGCAGAGAATCACAGGTTGGGGCTGCTCGCAATCCCAGTCTCACTGGACTCTTTCCTTGGCTCCGCCACATTCAGCTTCCTTTCTTTCTTGGTTTAGAGGGAGAACAGACTGCTCCTGTTCAAAGGGCTGATGTTTACATTATTAGTCCATTGAGTTTAGATAAGTATTCCAGACTCAGTGCTCCACTGGCAAACAACAGCCCCGTTCATCCCATCAGCACAGCCAGAGCAGTGACAGCCTCGGGCTGAAAGGGAGCAGCTGTGTAACAGCTCGCAGTAACCTGACAGCTCAGAGCGAAGAGAAGAATCATCTGTGGCTGAAAGCACACGGAGCTCCTAAGTGGAGATATCCAGGGTCCAATGCATGGGAGACATACATCACACAACAAAGGAGGATTTAAGATTCAGAAGTGGCACAGCTTTCTAGCTACAACCTGACCCACCTGCAAGAGCATGCCCGATTTTCTCTTTATGAGAAACGCAGCGAGAATGAGGACACAACTACATCTTTACTCCAGTGCTGTGGATTACACACATCTGAGACATCTGCAGCTAGACCATTACAGACTCCATTCCCACCCCTCTTTACCTATCCATTCCCAACCCTCAGTTATTCATCTTCTCACTAATTTACCTTTGCTGTCTCCTCACTCACTTTTCTCTTCCCTGTGTTGTTTGAGTTACACCACCATCTTATCCAGGCATGTCAGTATCAGCTCTGCTGGACCAGGAATTTTCTTCTTTTACCACAACACACCTTTCTAAATTCTCATTTCCCTTTGAGCCTTTCTACTCACGTGCTTCAAGCCCTTCTGCTTCTAGCAATGTTTGACAGCAAACTTAAGACAAGTAATTCCCTGTAGGGCGCACAGGATGCCAGATACATGGGTTTTTCTCACTGATGAGCACACCAGCCCATATCACCAAGAACAGAGGCACTGCAGGGTTTGTACCACATGTAAGTCCTAGTGATGAGAAACCTCCTGCCTTCCTGATCCCAAAACATACATAGCTGTCTAATCAAACAAATTTCATAGTATCACAGAATTGTAGGTGTTGGAAGGGACATCTGAAGATCTAGTCCAAAACAGGTTTCCTAGGGCAGGTGGCAAATTTGATAGATCACACCATCATGTTGGTCACACATCTGATCTAAGATATCAAACACTGAACTGACAATTCCACGTTTGTCTCAGCACTCGCAATTGCTTGGTTCTGCCATTTCCCATCCTTCCTCCCCCCCCCCAGTTCGGGTTTTAGTTATACCACAGCATTGAACTGAGAGAAGGAGGGCTGCAGGCAGAGCCAACCCTTTCAGAAGAACTCTGCACTTGTGTTGTTTTAGGCAAAGGGTGAAGCCACCCATTTAGTCTGTAATCCAGGGATCAGTGGGGTCAGCGGGAATCTTTTCATTCACTTCAGCAGGCTTTGGAAGTGAGCCAGCTGCCTGCATTAGATTGTCAAAGGGACCACTTATCGGATGGTTTATTAGCCTGTTTCTCCCAGGAAGCCTAAAATAACTAACCCTGTCTTGAAACACGGAGCACAAAGGAAACTTCAGGTTGCAGGATGTGACACAGGTCAGTGATTTGTGTCTCAGCAGGGAAAGAACACTTTATTTCAAACATGACACGGTTGAACCCAGGTGATCATTATGGTTCTTTTCAACCCAGGCTATTCTATGATTCTATGACATAGAGCAAGAATTAGCTATCAGAGAAGCAGACAAAGAAAGATGAACTGCAATCTTGTGCTAGGTCACAGTATTTTTATGAACATTCACCTATTCTCTAATCAGGTTTACTAAAGAAAGCAGTTTTTAGATTATTTGCTGTTCGACGTATGTTCAACCCACCTCTCCTCCTTTCCCAGTGCCCACCCCTCTCAGATAAATGCACTGACGTCCCCATTTAAAAGAAAAGCATAGTCTTACCAGAGCATCTTGTGCAAACTGTCTTCCACAGATTCTACAAGGAACCAAATCTTGACTCCTGGCAGCTGTATAAAAATTCAGACCAACAGTCTCAGTTTTGCAGTACAGGAGTGCTGCACTTACACTACAACCAAAAGTCAGACCGAGCCCTTAAACTGCTGGAACGTTCTTTCGTTGCCAGAAAAGGACCTCTGCAGTCATGAACCTTTTTTGCAGAACCACTTTATTTCTCTCACTCCCACAAAGCACGAGCTTTCCTTTACTCCAAGCGACACTTCTTGTTCTCCACATGCCTGCTAATAAGGCATCTCCTTTCATAATGACACAAGCGGGAGAGGAGAGGGGATGAAGGAAAAGCACTCATTAAGTCATTGTGGCATGAATTCTGGGAGGAACATCAAGCACAAGTGATTTGCACCCAAACTTCTTTCATTTTCCATACCATCAAGTAATGGCAGCATAAGGCCTCACCATTCTGCAGGCCAGAAGGGATCACACCGAGTACACCACCTTCATTCTTAAGACAGACTGTTGCCACAAATGTCATTTCTAGGGTAACATCTGTGTCCAACAAGACTGACTTTGCAGATGCAAACTGTTAGGGGGTTTTGCTTTTAAATCACCTTCTATCAAAAATAAGTTGAAGTTACACAGAAGACAGTTCTATGACTCCAGTACTACTTAATTCTCATTTCAGTGCAGGGATGTTTCTTGCATTAAGCAAAAACAGCTTTCAGAAATATCTGAACATAACAAAGAGCCCTTTTCACAAGACTTGTAATCTACAGAGGGAAAGACGTCTACATTTAAGCATTCCTTACCTGCTTTGGCTGAAACAAAAGGAGTCTTTGTATTGCTGAGCAGGAGCAGATGTGGAACTGCTTTTGTTACCTCTTCACTCAGATATTACCACACTCCAAGGCACAGAGAAAAGTTACTACAGTATTTCACCGATTAGAGGAACAAAAGCAATTCTGTAACTTCTCACTCTCTTTCTATCAGCTGTTTAAACTACACTTCACTTTTGTTTCCAAGAAACACCTTTCTGCATGTCTGTGCTTACTCTAAATTATACTCTTTCAAGTGTCCCCTTCTTCCTGTCCCATCTCTTCTTGTTTGCATCCCCTCAAAGTTTCGACCAATACAACTTCTTTCAAAGATTGTCATTCAATCAGCAGTGGGAAGGCAGGACAAATGACTGCATATTACACAGGACAGGTGACTTCAAACATATTCAGTGACAGGTAAAGACTAATAAAGAACACAAGCACTGCCTTGAGTAAATTATTTATAATAAAACACATAATTACATTCCACACAAACCACTGAAGTGTCTGTTACTCACTTGTTTCATTTAGCTCCTGTGCTGGTATCTGGCTCATCTTAATTTCTCAAATTTACTCTTCAGTGCTGTTGTCAGGAGCTCTAGGTGGTCAGCATTCATCATTCAGAAGGCCAAAGTTTATAGCAGCCCAAGTTACCATGTGTCACAGTTAACAATTATGACACAAGCAGACCCCGCTTAAGCATGTGAAGCACATGAAAACCAGTATAGATACAAGCTGAATGAAAACTCCCAAACTTTTTCTAATGTAACAGTTGATTTCTATTTCTTTAACATAAAACTTGAGCAAAACTACAGTATGTTTAATCTTAACGTGAATGCTGTATTCAGACTTTGGCTTTCTAAGCAGCAATGAAGAAACTTTTGGACATAGCTGTTCATTCAATTATCCTAAAACTCACTACTTTATCAAAATACTCTGCAAAAGCTTTTTCCCCCCAGTATAAGCAAGTGTTAAGCCCTCCTGTTATCTTGTCTCCACCTAGTGTTCATATAAAAGAGGAACATTCCAGACACTTGTAGTAGTCAGTCCACTCTACTGTTTTGGTTTCTCTGTTCCAGCATAACAGGCTGCCTTCTCACTCAGAGGCAAATGCTCAGCTCTAAAAATCAAGGGTTGATGTATTCACGAGTACAGGAAGTTTCAGAAGGGCTGACTGCAGATCTCATTCCTTTATTCATGGGTACAGACTGGTCACCAGAATAATTCTTATGTACAGTACAGTAATTTAAGATCACAGTAAGTCTGCAATAAAGGCTTTCTGCTCACCTTCAAAAAGCCTTTGCAACAGTTGTGTTAGGTCATAAGCCTGTATTTCAGTGAAAGCAAACTAAATGCAAGACGAAGAACAGTATTTGAGGAAAATCCAGACAATGGCTATTTGCCATCTGCACCACAGCTTTCTAAATATCTACTGTTTGTTACACAATGATTGCCATGTTGACTACTTGAAGCAAAGTTGCTTTAAACAGCAACAATAAGAGACACCTACTACTGCCTTTGCAATACTTCTTGCAACAAGTAAAACATAAAATCTTCAGATGGCCTGGGCTGAAAAGGACCACAATGCTCATCTGGTTTCAACCCCCCCTGCTATGCGCAGGGTCACCAACCACCAGACCAGGCTGCCCAGAGCCACATCCAGCCTGGCCTTGAATGCCTCCAGGATGGGGCATCCACAGCCTCCTTGGGCAACCTGTTCCAGTGCCTCACCACCCTGTGTGTGAAAAACTTTCTCTTAATATCTGACCTAAACCTAACTCATCTTAGTAAGAGGGATGCTCAGCTACACAATAGCTTTTTAGACACCTCTGCTTACAAAACGTTTACCCAAACAATAAATAATCAATCCCTGAAAGAACTAAGGAGTGGGTGAAACTCATTCATTTCCAAAACTCTGCTCTGTCAAGGCACTATATTTAACGGCCAATGTAAGGGAGAGATAAGTAAATACAGTGCTCTGTACAAACTCAAATATTTTAATGGAAGAATCAGATCAAATCAGCAGGATTTTTCTGAAGTGCTGAATGCATTCAACACATGACACTTGCTCCTCAGTGACAGTTTATAAGAAAAATATATTTTAAAATTTTAATACGTTTCTAGGGTGACAAAAGTTTGCAGCACTTGCCGTGACATTCGACACACGACAAGAGAGACATTAATTCACTATTTAAGGTATAACTTCAGAAAGAATGACAAGCCAGATATTGCTGTACCAAACACCATTAGCCCCCTTTGTGCATGCCTGGCAAATCTTATCAGTTAGCAATTCCTTCTCAGTACAGATGAAATCAATGTTTCCACAATGAAAGTTCCTGAATTTCAAGACAGCTTCAGTCCTTGCATGTTTTGTTTCAGATTGAGCAACTCTTTTTCTTGCCTTGTTTTCTCCAATTTGAAGGCCATCTTGTTGGCTTTCTTCTCCATTCTGCGTTCCTGTGCATAAGAACAATTACAAATTTATGAAATAGAAAACCACTGCAACTAATGTTTATGGATCATGAAAAGAGAAGTCATAATCGTCTTGCTTCCAGCATTAATTCTTGTACAACACTTAAATCTGATAATCCAGAATTATCATCTTTAATTAGCTGAAACTCCTCACAAGCTGATAAGTTCTGGTGCTAAATAAAACCACTAATTATCAATGTGTCCACAAAGGTTTTCCATGTTTATTTTGGAGACTTTTTACTTTGTATGATTTGAAATTCTGTTACTGTTCTCCTTGCTTCCCTAGGTAATACTGAAATACAAATTCCCTTTTAAGTTACCCATCCAACAGCACCCACGAGAACACCCAGAACTTCCATATAGAAGTCCAGTGAGAACTTCCATAATAATAGAAAGAAAGCTAGCATTAAGTACTAATAATTATTCCTTTCAGACCAGAAAGCTTTGCCATTAATTTCTAAACACAAAATTAAACAGGTTTCAAAACATTCCTACAACTCAAAGAATTCCAGAATAAAGTTGTTGGCTTTCTGGGCTTTATTTAAAACAAGGCCTACCTTCCGCTCCTCTTTTATCGCCTGCTTCCTGGCTTTGCGGTCCTCTTTGCTCTCATTTTTGGAGCGGGGCTGTGTCGATGCTCTTGGCAGGTCACTATCATTAATCATTTGCATGCGTTCCACCTGCTTAGCAGTAAGACCTTTCTGAGGCAGGACGTGCAGAGGAATTCCAGTCTTTGAGGAAATTCTTATTGGTTTTGGCTAAAACAGACAGTGCATATGTGTGAATGGTCTCTGGCTTCCCCTCCAGGAAGTGCAGATTGCAGTGCCTTATCTGCACAGAATAAACTAGCAGATTCAGATGGAACGGTAACAAACGTTCTTATACATACTCTTCCCTCAGAAAGATGCACATTAATCTCAGAGTGAAATCAAACACCTGTAAGCAGAATAAGTCCCCTAGAACAACAAAAATGTTTTCTCCTTTCATTTAATATTACTGAAAAATGGACTTAAGCAGGCTCTCAATATTGCCTTCGTAAGGCTTTAAGAAAAAGCTTTTCCTTTAAAACCATGCGTGCCTGGCACATCAAGCTCTGCTCTACTTCTCATGAGGAACTTCTAGAAGGCCAAAGAACTGGAGTACATCACCTCAAACAGTAAAATGTCAAGTAAATCTGTTCTCAAGAGAAATCTCCTCTATGAGGTTGCAAGATGTAGATTAAAAGAAGCTGTATTGAGAGAAGAGAGTGAGGAATTTGTTTTCTTGTTAAGTTTCTGCTTAGCTATTATAGAAATTCTGAGCATCTAGTGATTTAATCAGTCAAGTCATACTCAATTTTCCTTCTAATATAAATAAAGATGTGTGTGTATTTTTATTTTTATAAATATCTCTAAAGATCCAAATCCTTCTCTGGTGAAGCTGTAGGCTAATACCCTTCCCAACTTTTTTTTCTGCTTACATCTACTTTTAAACAGTCATCTACTGAGACAACAATCACTTTTCTCTCAAGTTCTCCTAAATCACAGTGTTACTTTGAATAATTTTAATGCTTTTACCTTTGATGGCTCCTCGATAAGCTTTGGGTGATTATACAAGTTTGAATATGTACCTGGGTTACGCAGATAAAAAAAAATAGTGAGGAAAAAACTTGCAAATAAGAATTAAATACATTTATTATGAATCATAGTACTAGTCTTTGAATAGAGAAAATTGCAAGAATTAAGTAATCTCCAGAAAAGGAGTACTTTTATCTTGCAATAATTCCTAATGTTATACTTCAGAAGCATAAACCTAGAAGTACAGCTAGAAAAGTGCCAAGATCACCTCTCATTTACTTTGAGGTACTAAGAATGAATAAGAACTCCAAATACTTACTCAAAATTGATTCACAATCCCACTTTTCTTTTGGTTCCTCAATAACCAGAGCTACTCTTTCTTCTTTCTCTTCATCACTGTCTTCACTTGCAGGAGTGTCTTCAAACGGTTCAAGAGTATCCAATTTCACACAACTTCAAAGAAAAAAAAAAGGTTCACCATTTCTTGGAAATACTTATGTAAAACAAATCTCCTCTGAGTAAAACCCAAGCAAAAAAAAAAACTGCTCCCACTACAAACTGCTACAAGAATAAGCATCACCACTTATAAACTAAAGCTTGAGTGCCAGAGACAGATTAGAAAGTGATTATTTCTGTATCTCAAAAGCATCTGACACACAATATTGGTGACTGGAGGACAGGAAGAGAATACACTTTTTGACATGTAAGCACTAGAGGTGATTATATACTCTCCTACTGACCATTCCTACTTCACAAGGGACACTTTACATCTTTCAACCAGGAAACAGAAGGCTGATGGGTGGATACCTAGACACTTAACTCTAAGATAATATCACTTGTTTTAAGAGGAAGAGAATACACTCTGTAAATTCAGTACATTGGTGTGGAGCTGCCTCGTGAGCTCTGATCTTGGCCATGCTCCAGTTGCACAGTGGCAACAGTTCCCCTTGAGTTTATAATCACATAACTAGGTATACAGTGTTTCACTGCTGGTACTCTGCTGATTCCAATCTCCTTGGCTATGGAGTCTGTTAAAAACAAATTTAAATTCTATAGAGCAATTTAAGTTGCCCTAAAGAGGGAAAGGAAGAACACCCCTGGACATTACTTAGACTAGATATAATAAAATTATAAAAAGAATATAATATGGTATAAAGCAGCAAAATGCCTGCATTTAATTTTAATAACGTCCTAACAAGACGGACATTCAGTCACACAAAGAAGGGAGAATGCTCCAATCAAGCTGTTTTTATTGTGAGATGTAATCTGCAAGTCCATGAACTGGAAATAACACACTCAAACTTTTGGCATAAGGGCATGGTGACATAACTACGTATGTGTAGCAGTGTATCTGAGTACCTACTTCTTTGCTTTCTCTTTGTAGAAATCGCTCAAGACTTCCTCCAACCGAGCGTTGTCTGTGTTAATATAGCCTTCTAATTCCACGTTATCCAAGGCTCCAATTTCATCTTCATCAAACTGTTCAAAAAACTAAATAAAAAGTGGATATCTGAATTAGATCACGCTTGTTGAACAAGTCCATGACAGCATAGAGCTTTATCCATCTCTTCCTATTTGCTCCTCTTTCCGCTCCCTTCTCAGTTGCTGAAAAACTGCCACACACACCAGTGGTAGGATTACCTCCTTACTGACAATATACTTTCAGCACAGGATTAACAAAGTTACTGCAAGATAACATACACCACTGAAAGAAAATATGCAGATCAGCTTCTGCAAAAATGTTGAGTCTTCACTTCAACTGGTACGCTAAAAAGCTTGTCACTGCTCGGGACAAACATTAGCCCACATCTCCACTGTTCTGACATGATTTCATCCATGTATACTTATAGCATAGTGTGGAGAAGGGGTGAAAGAATCAAGTCTGTATAAGAAAGCTTTACAAGACTTACTGGGTAGGACGGAGCTTCTTGGAGAAGCGTTACACCATGAATATCCATTGTCTTCACTGGAATAATTTCACTAAACAATATCAATCAGTTAACACTGTAGCCTATTAAACACAACGTGCTTAGTGCACACAGCATTACATGCTGAATGTGTGCAGGTAACAGCTGCTTGGTGCCCTAACTACCAAAGGCAGGAGGAATTTGCACAGATACAGGACAGCACCTCATGAGATGAACCGAAAAAGCATTTAGCATCTTTTTGTG